GTGGTGCCACCACAAGGCAGGTGCAGCCGTCGGCGGACCCCCGGCTCCCGGCCTTGCAGTCCCGGGGCAGGAGGGAGGCGCGCGCTGTCGGGAGGGGCATTTTGGTCGCGACTTAAAATCCTAAGTCGCGGGCGTTGTGCAGTGCGTGAACCAGAGGAACCTCCCGGAGTTCTTGCTTCTTTCATTCTTTTTCTTGCCCGTGCCCAAAGTTCCCAAAGAAAGTTGGGACGCGCCAAGGAGAGCGGAAAGAAGCGCCGCAGAGCTGGAGCCCGAGGGCCAGATCCCATTGGCGGGGCGGTCCCCAGGGCTGGATCCCAGTACCGGCCGGGCCCCCGAGTCTGTCTGCTTGACAGGGGGGAGCTGAGAAGCCAGACCTGCAGGAGAGGCGCGAAGGGAGCGCTGCGAGCGTTCGCAAAGGATGCTGCGTTCGGAACCACGGTTTCTGCGGGACTCCCGTGTGCCTCGCACCCGTGGTTTCTATTCCCGAAAGGGGCTCTGGGAAGTGGGGCTTCGACCGCTGGGGAAGGCGAGAGGCGGGCGCGGTGCCGCGGGTGAAGCACCCTGAGGGGACACGCGACGCGCAGTGGGCGAGTGCAAGCCTTACGGCGCCCGAGGTTGATGGATCCAGAACCCTCTGCCTCCGCAGACACAGCGGCGACCAGGACTTCCCACGGCCTGGTTGGGGGGCGGAAGAGGGGGGTAGGGGGAAGGGAGGTCGTCCTGTTGGCCTTGTTCAGCTTGAATAACTCAAATTCTCCAAATTCGCAGGGTAATCCGCTTCACTCGGAGCCGTGTAAACTCAGGCTGACACACACACTCAAGCTGTACGTGTAAATATTTGCTCTCCCTTCCAGCCAGTCGGTCTGGCGATTAGAAGCCTCTTGGTGGGTCTTAAAGAATTAAAATAAAATAAAATAAAATAAAATAAAAAATAAGTGCTATTAGTGCTACCCTTATATGATGCTCTTACAGTCATAAAAACAGCCCCAATTTCCCAACAGTCTTTTGCTCCCTTCACTGCATCTTCCTCCTCGGCTCCCGAAATATATGGGGGCGGGGCGGGGGGAATCCTAAACGTCAAAAGCTGAGAACGTTTGTGTAAGTAAAACGATGTCATCTGAGAGAGTCATGATTTTGAGACTGTCCTGACATCGCGTATCAATATTATCTAAGTCTGCACGAAGATGACTGAGAAACTCTTTCGGTTTTGATGTACAAAGTGCATATACGTAAATGGGGAAATTTCGTAAAACCATAGACTTTTGTGCTCTAAGGGGTCGGTCGAATAGCCCGTCTTTATTTCCCTTTGAGAGAGAAAAATCGGGTCTGGAGTGGCGGAGGGCGCGTCTCCCTTGCAGTCGGTCCGGCCAGAGGCAGACGGGAGCTGGGGACCCGCACTCGAGGCCGCGGTACTGATCCCCGCCCCCGCGCCAGCCCCCGCCCCGCAGGTGTGCCTGGGCGGTTCCTGGGAAGTCGCTGGAAGAGCTCGCGCAGGCTGAGAGCAGGCTTTCCAATTAAACCGCACTAAGGAGGCTAAAACACCAGGGCCGCCTAAGGATCCGTCTCCATCCTTGAGTCTTTGGTCCTTTGCTGTTTTTAGACAACCCAGACCCAACCAAGACCCGTCGGTGATGAAAGTCCCCTTCCCCGCATCTCACCTCAACATAACAGTGACAATTCCCTTTCGAATGAATGGCACACACACTGGTTCCTTTCCTGTCTCAAATACTAGTGTTTGGTCAGGAAGAAAAATTTACGTTGAGAGTTTTTTTGGGGGGGAGAATTGGGGGGTCATGTTTACTTTCGAACTTAAAATACGTTTCGATTGAACGTCAAAGATCTTGTCTTCTAGTTTTAGTTTTCGAAAACTTATTGTGGAATTATACCTCAATGAAAAAAAACTTGCTAATACATTTCTATACGGAGGAAATACCATGTGATTTCTTCATTGTCTTAATGGTTCAGACTGGATTTTAAATAATTTCATGACAGGGGCATTTGTAGGAAATTTGGTAGAGCAAGGGGAAAGCTGACTTGCCACCAATCCGTTTCCACTTCCTTTTCCAATGGCCACCGCGGCCTAGCCCAGCTTTGGGTCCCTTGTGCGCAGGGAACTCTGTCCATTCATCCTGTTTAAAGTAAAGTAGAAAACAAGCAAACAAAAAGCTAAGCGAGCACGCCAGGCAGTGCTGCAAACCAGAGGAATCGAAAAGGCCACTTTAAACAAATCGGGGCGAGAGAGATGAGCCGTTTGGGGATCCCTCACACGTCATCCATCTTGGCGTTGAAACCGCGGCAATAAAATGTATGCTATAACATAATTATCGGGGGACATACTGTCCCTTCTCTTAGATTTATTGGCTTTGCAAATCAATATGGTGCTATAAAAATGGGGAACCTATTTTTATAGCACCATATTGGCAGAGAGGTGCTGTCAAAAGGTGATTCAGAGCCCTCCCGAAGCGGAAAGTGACAAATTTTGAGGTCCCTTCACAGTCTCCGTGTTAGGGCGATGCGGTTAATAGGTAAAGCCACCAAGGGGGCTGGAACAAAGCAACCGCATTAACACTACCCTCCGGACCCCAGTCAGGCTGACGACAGGCGGTGGGCGCTGCTTTCGGATACTGGAAAGTGCCTTGGACTTGAGGAGGCTTTGAATCTTGGCTTTAGCCCGCGTTAGCCCTGAGACTTCATGTGAGCTACCTAAACCTCTCAAAGCCTCAATTTCATCATCTACCTTAAAATAGGGCCAAGAATATATTCCTACTTGGAAAACGGTTCTATGGATTAATAAGGTAACATGCAGAAAGGGCCTAAACCATAAGTAACCTTAACAGTTACCCTAATGTAAGTAAAACATAAGTACAGGATTTTCTTAAATTTAATTTCTGAACTGCAGTTTCGCGATCGCAGAGATGTAACGTGCGTGACCAGTCAGGTTAACTGTGGATTCAGTTTTAGAATGGACGCAGAGGATTGGGGCCACGGGGTAGTAAGGGACCATTATTTAAATCCTGTTGAACTTTGGAGCCTAGGATTTTACATTTTTTAATTATACATCCGAGTTTTACTATACGGACTTTGATTATATGGGCGACTGGAAGGTGTCTTCTTATACACGTCGTCACCCTTTCAGTTTCTTATTTGTAACCTCTCAGGACTCAAATTTAGTCGCCCCCGAGAGCTGTCCAGCAAGCAATCAGTTTCCTGCTTTTTGGCTAATGTTCCCTCGCTTAACTAACGCTAAAGCAGAACCCTCTGCCGACAGTGGCAAGGGCCGTTCTCAGGCTAGTGTCGCCTGATGCTGTGGGGGGGAGAGCTGCGCTGGGGCCAGGTACTAGGATGAGAGCGCCGTCCGGCACCCGAGGGTGATCGCGCAACAGAAGGTGGGAAAGGAGACCTTCTCAGCACGCGGGCAGCTACTCCCGAGATCCCGTGCCCATCCTCTCTCCAGCTCTTTCTGGTAAACGCTTTAAAAGCACAGTGATGGGGCTCAGTGCCTTCGGATTTCTAAATTCTCGAAGCAGCGTGAGGAGGAAGGCCGCGCCCGCTCCGACCCCCTGCAGCCGGTCCCCGCGGCGCTCCGAGAGCAGCGCGCGTCCGTGCGCCGGGTAGGGAGCGCGCGGCGCGGCCTCGGATTTCACCGCGCGGCGAGAGCGCGGGTCCCCGCCTTCCATCCCCGGAGCCCAGGCAGAGGCGCAGACACGTGCCCTGGCGGGGTTAAGTTTTCGTGACCCCAGTGGTCGCTGAGATGCGCACCCTCCAGCCCAGGCTGCACGCGCGGGCCCAGAACGCCCAGGCCTCAGTCCCACCGCGGAGCCCCGCCGGGCCGGGCCGCTCCAGGCGCCCGCGCCCAAAGCCGGCTGTAAGGAAGGGGCAAAGATCAGCTTCTCGAAGCGCGCGGCCCGAGTTTGTCATCTGTCGGTCCTGGGTGGTGCATGTGCGCACTTTCGGCCCAGCTGTGGGACCAAGGAAAGGGGTATCGTGTGGGCCTCGGACAGGTTGCGCCGCTTTCGGGGTGGTGAGGGGGCGGTCATTCGAAGCCGGAGCCGGGGGTACGGTGATGTTACTCCGCAGGGCCTCCGCCTGTTCCCACCGGGCGCCACCCTCGGTCTGGGGGCGGAGGTCAGGCGCGGGGCCTCGAGCCTCCTCCCTGGATGCTCCCTTTGCGCTGCAACCTTCCCGCTCCACCCCGCCACCGCTCGCTTCCTCATTCTTCCCGCAAGAGCTCGCGACTGCAGGGCCTCCTCGGACCCGGGAGGAGCCGCTGCGCTGGAGCTGGGTGCAAGAACTCGCAGCGTGATCTCAAGAACGGCAAAGAAAGGTCCCTCTGACCCTGCGATGGAGGAGTCCAGACCACGGTCCCCCGCCCCTCCGCCCTCCCTCCCCCTCCTTCGCGCGTGCTCTTGAGCCGTCTCCTTCTGCGACCCTCCTACTGGGACTTCGCTGCCTTCCCCCTCCCAACCGCCCAGCTGCTAAAGGATCCTGTCTTTATTTAAAGCTTAGATAGTTTGTCCATCATGAATTTGTTGCATGAATTCTGCTTTTAAAAATTACTACATTAAAATATGATTTATCGATTACTGAGTTTTTTGCGCCCCCATAAATTTCGAGTTCTCACCCTAGTCCCGTCCCCCATGGAAGGTTAAGAATTTGATCGAAATTACGCCGATAGTATGAGGGCGGATTGCAACGCAAACCTCCAGCTTCGAAAGGGTCGCTCCTGCCATTACCGCGAGCGCGGGACTGAATAACCGAGAACTCTCACTAGGAGGAAGAAAGCGGACC